GGACTTATACAGTGCGTTTCAAAAGTGTGCGCACACCCTCAAAATTCACGTTTGAAAGGGAACCATGAGGTTTCGTGCTATGAAATCCTTCTCAATCGATTTCTCGTAGTCGATAACCTATCAATGGAAGCAAAGCAGATAATATCGCCTCACTTTCGGAAAAAATTTTTGGATGAAATTTTTTTCTTTGTTTCAAAAGTATGTGCACACTTGAAGAAGATCAGATTTTGGCGCCGAATTTTCCACCGATTTCAATCCGACTTTGCTGTTTTCATTTCGTCATCATGTCAATTCGCGCCATACTTCTTCCTGAAGATGAGCAAGCTCAGATCAAGGTTCTGCATGATAATGAACGTTCCAATCTAGAAATCGCACGATAACTTGGTCGTTCTCCTTAATGCATTCGAAGATTTATCTGGCACCCTGATAATTATACTCAGCACACACTCCGCTCCATCCACGATCCTTGACTGCTCAGAACAACAAAAGAGTAGCCCACATCCTGTCGGATTCTTCATTGACAGTCCGAGCTCAGATTTTTATTCCAGCCTCGAAAATGACCACTAAGCCCCTCATCCGCTCAAATGAATACACCACTCGACAGACGCTGAGAAAGGCTACTCACTTCAAGGCCCAGCACAAGTTAGCCACATTGGAGTCTGCTCGTACAGACATGGCAACATAGGATAGGACACCGGGCGAAGACACGGTTTTTCGAGAATTTCCTATTTTCAAAACAAGCAACTTTTTATGGACTTTCTCTCCTCAGGTAATCTTAGCTCGTGGAAAGAGTTTGATCATGACGGGCCGGAAAGATTTTGTCACTGCTGAAGAGGTATGGCGATGAACCGGTCGTGTTCTCGAGATGGAATTTCGGAGGACGCGCATTGATGGGTCTGGGGCGGTTTCGCAATCAGCGGGAATTCAGAAGTTGCCGTTCCATTATTGCGTATGAACTGTAAAGAATACCAAGCAGTGCTCCAATGTCACCTGTTGCCCTTCCTTAGCGAAGCGGAGCGAAAATTGCATTTTTAGCAACAGGACCACGTGTCTTTCGATGCTTCGCAATCTACCAAAGAATGGCCTTAACCAAATGGTGCTGAAGCGATAGATTGGCTTGTGTGTCCTCCTTACTGCAACCCTATAGGGAGCCCTTGATCAAGGCGTTAACTTTAGCAACCGGCAGTATAATACCGCGGATGAACTGAAGGCGGCGGTAGAGGCTATTTGGGCCGACAGCGACGAAACAGCTATGCCAAACGTGGTTCAGATTATGCCGGACAGGATGTTTGAGCTAATTAGAAACTCTGGAGGCCCCACTGATTTCTAATCTCAGCTATGTTTTTGTCTTTTGTTAAGTGTGCACATACTTTTGAAACAAAGAAAAAAATTTCATCCAAAAAATTTTTCCGAAAGTGAGGCGATATTATCTGCTTTGCTTCCATTGATAGGTTATCGACTACGAAGAAATCGATTGAGAAGGATTTCATAGCACGAAACCTCATGGTTCCCTTTCAAACGTGAATTTTGAGGGTGTGCACATACTTTTGAAACGCACTGTATGAATGTTAACGAGCCACAGAAGAAGTGTGCTAATGCTGTAGCAAAGGAAAATTCATTGAGCAACATAAGTATACATCATCAACATTGCAAAAATCTCGGAGAAAAAAGAAATAAGATCTTAAAAATAAATAGACAGCTTTCCGAAAGCACTTGCGATAAGAGGACTCAAAACATCGTTGAATATATGAGCATAACACACTGATCGTATTTCATGATGTTGCTGTGAATATGAATAATACTCCCAATATTTACACCGCCCATATTCTCAGATAAATAACTTGACTTTCATAGAGCATGCCTAAAACACAACAATCTACACAACAATTATCACTATTTAAGTAATAATGATTATCTGTAAGGTGCCATCATTCATCGCCCGCCCGCATTGTGCATGCTGATCAGATTGGCCTGGAGACCGATTGTATTCGCCATGACCTGGTCGTGATTGCCGCTTTCCTAAAAATCTACACTAAATCAACTAGATCATTTTCTAATTCAAAAGATGTCAGAACAAGTTTTCTCCTCTTAGTTAGTCGCTGCACTCCTTGAGGGGCGGGGCGTACGATTAAAAGGCAGCCCACTGGGAACTAAGGCGGAGGTGGTTAGAGGTGTTAAGACGAAGAAAAAACCGCTACCAACCCCCCAGAACTCGGAAAATGGCATTCCTAACTTGCCGTTCCTGCCTTCCTAACGTTGATTTCTGCATTAATGTGCTCTCATCGATGTTGTGCTCCTCCTTGCTAACGCTATCTCTATTTGAGCGGCTAGAAATCTTCGGCAAGTGGTTAGGCCAATCTGTGGGCGTTCCCGCGTTTATGGCGGCGCGGAAACGGCCCATGGTAAAACGCCGAACCACATACCTCGCTGGGCGAATTGAGTGTCGGCTTTGGTTAGCTCTGAGGAGTCGGCCTGTCTTTTCAATAGGTAAATTCCCCGCCTTCAACCTCGGACCTTATCGAGAAACCCTCCTTTTAAATGAATAGATATGAGCACCCCTCTCTTAATCACCCATTACGGATATTCTGTGCTTTCATTTCATGATGGGGCCAATGAAATCGCATTTGGTGTGCAGAATGCATGACCTTTGACCATACGGTGCTTAAGTTGTTCTGCTATTGTGGGCACATCTTTTTCGAATCCATCTTACGAATGAAAAACATAGCTCGATGGTTAACCGAAGAAAAGATGTGGAATAGTTCATAGTACTGGTCGATTTCTTAGTTAAAATCTATCAGGCATAGTGTTCGTCCATGCAACTGACATTATTTATCTATACACTTTCGGTCACTTCGAAACCTGTTGATCAGTTCCAGATTTTTTAGACTGACTTGTAGTACGTCTAGCCTTTCAAATTATTGTATAGGCCAAAGAAAATAATTTCAACAAAGTTTAAAGTGAAAGAAAAACGAGGAAGATGGCACCCACTTTGAATTCCTGATCGGCTCCTGCTATGGATGACGTCACTTCGCCGCATGCATTGTGGTATCCAACTTTGTCGTCTTGAGGAGAATAGATCGAGAAGATGTGTAACCCTTCATACCGTTGCCTGAACAGATTAGAGGTCAACCAAATAATCGCTAACTTTCTTCTATTTCTAAGGAAAGTTAAAGGCACATTCCAGATTGGATTGGGTGGAACTACCTTTCCGGGAACAAAGAGACTGGTCAGATTTGCTGAGGTCGCACCGATTTTATAAGTCGAACCTCCAAACAAAAGGACTTCGCCACTACGAACAGTTATCTGAAAGAGCCTGACTTCCCCGACGAATAGAACCCACATGGCAAAGAGAGGTCGCAATCTCGTTAAAGCATGCAAAACTCAATTAATCGAATACACTTCCGTACCATTGTGTCGCATCTTACCCAAAGGGTCCGCAAATGCTGTTCGTTTATTCCTTCTCATGGATTGTGCATAGATTCAATTCTTGAAAGAAGTGAGTGAGCTATGTAGGGTATGATGTGAAGAAACAATTATCAGAGTTACAGTAGTGCTGGTTTTCGAAGTAAAGCTTAGAGCGGGAACTATCTCCCTTCTTAGTCTTGACCTTAATGACCCGTAAAGGGCTGCGTCGTACCTTCGGCTACGTAGAGAGTTCTTTGCGAGCAGGGGGATCAGAAAGTTTCTCACTCGAATCTCCAATGGTACTCATCCGTTGGCTCAAAATACCTCCCTCCTTCGCGCATGCAACACCAAAAGCACAACAGGCCATCTTCAACGTCAAAAAACCCGGCCAATATATAGTACAAAGAATTCGAAAAGGGCATGGAAACGAAGCCGCTAGAATTATGTCATTCAAAAGATTTTCTTAGTGTACAGTTCGTAGAACACTGCACTCCAAAATGATGTTCCCGCTGTCCATGAGAGAGCGCAGAGGAACAAAGCGCCGCTGGAGAGAATTACTTTTCGTATCTATCTATAAAATGTACCAGTCACAAATTGAATGCCCTAGGTTCCCTTCGCCAATCCCTTCTTCTCACCCCGAGGATGTGAGCTTCCCCTTGTGCTTTCACTATTAAGCGCCACAGTATTCATCGAAGTTGAAGTCGGAATGTGCCTTGGAGCTAGTAGTAATAAATCAAACCAACCTAGAATTTATATTCCTCAGGAATTGTGAATTACACGAAAGACCATTGAGTATGTTACATGCACCAGGAAACGGTAGTAGACAGAGAAAGGAGCCATGATTGGCGCATGAAATAATGTGATGAGCAATGAATCTTGAAGCTATTTTATGTGTTGGACATTTAAACGTTTTATTGTATCAGCATACTTACAATAATTATATAGGTATTAACGTCTTAGCAACGATTAATTTGACTCCTTTTCAAATTTTGAGATTATTCAAGTGTGCAGGGTCTCCTATTTGTATAATATGTATTTTATATGCAATCTGAGTGCTTCTGTTGCATTTGTCCTACATCGCAAGACGGATTTCACAGTTTGCGGATATAGTGCTACTGTACCCATGTCAGCACGCTTTGCTCGCACTTAGGCGGAATAAGGTGGTTTGATGTCTTCAGAGTGCTGCGAGCATCAGATTATCGCTTCAAGAATAATCAACCTTGACTCTCAGAATCGCGTTCTCCAAAAACACGGTGAAGGAGTAATGTGCATGGTATATTTTTCCTAAAGCCTTCATCAATACCTGCAACGTGCTGCTGACGAATCACAGCACCTTTATCGAGTAGATCAACACTCGCACCACCAAGGGATCGAAAGAAACAATCGCGCGCGCAAGACGCTGTAAATTAGGAATTTAAAGGCAAATCCTGGGAATAAACTGGTGCTATTAGCGCTTCGTGGTGATAGCTTAGCTGCGGAACGACCTGAAAGTGGGAAGGAAAGCAAGAGAATCTTTGGGAACGCTGAAATTAAGGCCTTAACCTTCAAGTAAGGTCGGATGTGGTACGATGGCGAGACAGGGCGGTCAAAGAAGACAAAACACGCGAGAGAGCACGTCGTTCGAGAGAGCACGCTGATCTCACCATCTCTCGCGGTGGGTGGGAAGCGTTGCAAGGGGTCGATGGTTGCAGGCCCGTAAGGATTAGCGCCCTAACCGCGCAATTTTGCGACGAAGCTGGAGTGATCTAGGTAGGTACGGACCTTAATTTTCCCCGTGGTATCCCTCCTACTAGTCTCGGAGTTTGCCTTTAATTGTGCCGCTCATTTCGCCTCATCATATCACACAGGATCGATCACGTTCCAATTCCTCGCCTCCTCAACATGTTTTTAACTTCACTATTTCATTATCCACTACCGAGTCGATGTCTTTCATAGCTCAGTCATGCTCGCCTAATCATTTGAAAATCTTCTTCGTAAATTTGAAATGTACCTAACGTAGAATTTTCGATGAGCTTAGCTGACTATTCGACGCAGTTAGGTCAGATTCTTATTCACCATTTTGAATTCGCACTACATCTGTAGGAGACTCGTAAAGAACGCGAACATTTTTATTTAATTTCTTTTCGTATTTGACCATACTGTGGAGTGAGGATTATTATTCTGATACCGCTTACTGTAGTTTAGCAGTGCCGACTACTACAGTAGATCCACACGATTATAAGCTCAGGAAGTTAGGGTAGTATACCATATATGTAGTAAACGGTGAGCATCCAATAGTGTGTGTCGTTGGCGCAGCTGCACCATCACACTACCACTCGCTTCAAGTGGATCGTTTATGGTCTCTTCCTCACTCGAACTTCTTTTTTGAAGTTTCGATAGAAATTCAAAAGATTCATAGTGGGCATTTTCTTCATGAAGCCCTTCTCGTGCAATTCAAATGCTTTTTTTTTTTTTATAATTTCCCAGGTTTTAAGGTGTGAAGTGTGAAGGGCTTGTACCCTTTGACGTAACATTAATTCGTTGCAAAAGTTACACGGAAGAAAACACTGGGTTAGTTTTTGACGAGTTTTCGTGGAACACCATTCGAATTTTATTTCATTTCTACTCAGTTTGTTATACGTAGAGCCAGTGCCCTCTACTCTTCCCAATGCCATTGAGATCATCATCCATCGACAGTGGATACAAAAGGGAAAAGAGATTCGAAAAAGTACCAGAAGGAATCAACTAATGGTAAGGAAGAACTAAGCCCCTGCAATTGACACAAACTTTGGCGGTTTCTGGTGGTTTGCGCCAAGAAGTTCGCGAGATCCATTTGATGTACACGTATTTCTGTATGGTATTGAACTGGTTAACTCATCAGCACATCAAAATCTTAGCTTTATGATTCATATTCGAAGCTTGCACTGTGACATCTTTTACTTTCAATAGAGTTTTGCGCCGATGTTTCACGGAGTTATTATCATTGCGCGAAAAGCAGTGGTTGAGGGATCGAAGGGAAGCTGGAATGTCGTTCAGGTCTTGAGACAAAGAGATAAAGGTATAGTCGAAACTGACGGCCATATTTTCACTTCCAACTAATTTTCATGAAACTGCATATTCACGAGGCGCAGACAATCCTTCTGTCGCTCACTGGTTGCTGGATCGCGACACAATCTATAACCACATTTGGGAAAGAGAACGCAGGTCATTGCGATACCTTGCGGAACGTGAACATGCTTGTTCAGAGGCTTTTGCATAACGCACCAACTAATATGCTCAACATATTGCCCTTGTATAGCATTCCCTTTTTGAAATTAATCCCGGAACTGGCGCGCTGAGCTTCGCACTGATCAGCCAGGTTTCACTTTGCGTTCCTCAGGACCCCATTTATGGATCCTTGCATCGTTTCCACCTTTTAATCCCCTTCTATAGTCATCGAGCAGCATTGAAATAGGCACTGGACCATTGTTTCACTACGGAGTTTTGTAAAATTTGAATGCACTCCACAAAAAAACCCATCGAAAATTCGTCTAGGATTAAAGTTACGAGGGAAGTTACGTCCTTTACACTGACTCTTTTAAAACCCCGGGATTCCAAATAAACTTTGAAATGCACGGAAAGGGCCCAAAAATAAAGAAAAGTTGCTTTGATAAAGAAATATACTAAGATTACAAAGCCCTCTGGAGAGTAACGAACTCAGCCAAATTAATATACGACACTGGTACACAAATTGATTTTCAGAGGCGAATACTGCATGTGGCACCCGACTCACGAGGGTACACAGTTTGCTGTATGAACTGCTAGCTTAGAACTGCAACAAAACCCGCCTCTACGTAGACAACGAGAGAACGTGAATACCTCGAAGCAACAGTCCCCGCAGGGACCTTATCTTCGATGTTATTGGTGTGGAACGATGCCCCGCAGGGTTCCTTACCTTCGACACTAATGGTGTGAAACGATGCGCTAGCCCTAGTCAAGAACATAAGAAGTGTGACTGAACAAAAAACTCACCTTGGAAAGCCGCTAGAAAGGGAGTTGAACGCCTTCAAAGTGGGCGTGTCTGAATGTGGTCAACAACCCCCATTGCCAGCCGTGGAGATCGCGTGCTTGGATGCAGGTCCTTGCGCGATTGCGTGTAAACTGTATTGCGTTTCGAAATTGATGCTGCCTCTTTTGATTGGTTTACTTGCTTAACTCATTTTATTATTGCGTTTCTTTGTTTGCACTAATGCATATGTCTCTGTTTGCACTGATGAATATGAGATTGCAGCCGTTGAGCGATCGGACAGCCCGCCCGACGCGCCCTTCCTTCATTTCAAAAGGAAAAAGGGAGGCCCCTTTCGAAAGGCGTTCTCTTTGGTTTTTTCCCATTAGCAGTAAACTCGCCATCTATAGCGTCATTGTCGACTGTTTTTGCCTACGAAATCGATCTGGAATTGTTGAATTGTTGCTTTGTGTTATTAGTCATAGAAGCATTCATCACAGGATGGACGCCACACGACCTGCCACGAACTTCATGCAATCCCTCCACGATTATGCAGGTTCTCTACAAGATGAAAAGAACAGAACTCCAGCATCGCCTTCGTCTGGTTTCTGACGATTTTACTTGATAAGTTGATAAATTTACATTTAACATCCTGAGTTTTTTAATATCAACCGCATCCAAAGTCTTCTATAAGCAGCGTAATTAAAGTATACCCTATTATGCAGTCAGTTTATCACAAAAATCGACAGAGTTGGGAGCAAGTGAGCAGAACATAATCATTCTCGCCAGCCAGGCAACCCCTGGAAGATCATCTGAAAATGGAATCTGAGAAGCCAGACACGCAGCCAGACACAAATCAAGGATACAAAAAGGAAAGTAGGAAGAGGAAAAGGGAAATTACCGATTATCAAACGCAAATCATAAAGGTACAAGATGTAAGGTGAATTTCTCGAAGAAAGTCGTAGTTTGTGAGCAACTCCGACACATGCAAGCATAATCAGATTTCCTTTTCGCGTCGAGATCGAAAACAGATATACATTTACTCCCGTCAAAGTCAGAAACAGGGTATTCTGCTTATTGGTGGGTCTTCGACTAAGAAGTTGTTCTGACTCAGGAACGGGTATTCCGCAGTCGAATTGAAACTGAGATCACACACGGATATAGATGAGATTAAATAAAGGGAACAACTGTCGTACCTCAGCGCACCGCGAAAGGCCCAAATTTCGAACTTCACGAGTTCTGCTTCTATCGTCGTGACCGAAGGTGCCGTATTTTATGTGTTCGTATCTCACTATTTGGGGCAAGGCTTCCGAATATTATACTCATTGATCATCTAAACCTGAATTCAAATCGACTATGTTCTTCAATAATCGAATCTATTCTACCCAAAGAAGAAGTTCCAAATTGTTATTGCTATTCTTATCTTCTTCATATTCTATCATTTGCCTTCGGTGAGAAGAAGTGAGACCAACTGTGATAATTTTTGTTGAGATTTTCTTAATTCGCGGAAGAAGAATTTACATTGTTTCCGACGTTCTCACTTTACAGATTTTTTTTGTTCTTTCACGATTGATCATTTTGATTTATCTTTATACCGTTCTGTTTTTTATTGGGTACCGTCTCATCCCTCGATTATTTTTTTTGCGGCAATCGACCTATGTCCAGTGAGATTAGGCTTGACTCTACACTTTTTTGCAAAGGATTTCTGTTAGTTTTAGTGAGGGATGGAAGGACCCCGATTAACTGTTTCTTCTTTTCAAGTCGGTCAGCAAGAGAGCGATAATTCAAGCTCCTGAAAGGCGACAACAAGCCCGGAGGGAGCCACTTCAGTATCCTCTTTTGATTCGCTTGAACTCGCCTTGTGCCCAAACGTGTGATTCTGTGGAGAAATATCAGCCCACGACGTGAATTTCTAAGGAATTTCAAAAAAGAAAGGAACTTCAATATCAAGGCTAAAGGGTATGTTAATCTGAACTTTGCTGCACCACCATGGAATAACATGGCCCGAGACGATCTTAATCATCGAGGAGCAGCAGGTAAGCAAATCCGATATGTGCTACGGAAGGAGCACAGAAATATTCAGTATTTTCTTGATTACCTGATATCCACTACCGCTTTGACGTCTAAGTTAGCTCAGTCATGCTCGCATCGTTTTTCTGAAATCCCTCGTACTTTGAGAGCCTGTCTAGCATACATTCTGGCTTGCACAGCGAAGTCAATCGAAGTTGTAAATTTGGAATTTTTTGTTTTTTAGTGATAGCTGATCCGTTTCTCTTTGATGATTGTAGTTTATCCGACGCATGAACCAAGTTCTTCTTTGTGATTTTTTATACTTAACTGATTTGGTTTTTGCTTGAAGACGTAGATTGCCATAAAAGTGTACATAATTAACAGCATTAAACCAATAAATACGTAATAACTTCGTAGTCTCACCAGGCAACGCGAAGCACGAATCGTACATTCGATAGCGGCACTAAGAGGGGGTCCAAGCCGCTCACCAGTATCCATGCATCTACCGCCAAGTATCGCCTGAATCGAGAGCATTTTCAAAGGATTCCGTTCAAAAATTTTAGTTTCAAAGGATTTTCGTGACAGATCAACACACTGGCAACGGGCTGATGCGTATGCTCATCACTGTGCATGCCGCTTAAGGTATTCGACGTGCACGCGCGCTAGAATTTTATCATCATTTTTTGGGGTGAGTTTGGGTTCCTGAGTTTTCTTTTATATTCATTCTGTTCACAATTCTCTACACAAACCACATGGGTCCTAGATAGTGCAATATGCTTTGATTTGGCCACGATTTCTCGAGCCTTGAAAATTTTTGTTCAGATTACTAGTTCAGGTGAAATTACTACTCAGAATATTGCTGAATATCTTTTGTATCCAATACGACCAACAAACCTTTCTTGCGACCGGAGATCCCATAGAATACGCCAGGATATCTACCCGCCGTCTAGTGAATTCCGCTACTGCTTGAATAAACCATCGAACCTAGAATGACGGCGGTTTTTAACAATATGACGTCACACGACAATTTTGCTGAGAATTTATTTTATGAGAGACAAAAAGAAGCTGAAAATATGCTTTGTTTGGAGTTGCAGAAGGGTGGTATTGCTGTGAGATGGACATCGAAGCGGAGAGCGCACATTTCCAAGCACAATTATCAAAAGCTTTCAATCAAATTACCTAGCATACCTACGATACCCAGTTGGAAAATATTTCAGGTCCCATATGGATGTATGTGTTATGTTGGCAGTGACTTCTTACACAGGGATAAGAGCCTACTGAACCCCACCTCAGAAATGTGTACCGTTTTTCCTTCTTTGACTGAAGATTGTCCTACATTCTCACACTATAAATTAACGCGCATTCTAGCGCTATTTGTTGCGATTACATATATGATCAAGTATTCGTAGTCGTCCACCCAAACGTGCCCCCAAATAAAAAAAATGAAAGTAGGTAAATTAATAGAAGTAGAAATAAATAAAACAAAATGGAAGAAAGAAGTGAAAAAGCAAAAATAAGATAAAATAGCTCAAAATAGGTATTTGCTGTGTTTCCGACGATGCTTTTTTCTTTTCTATCCTCATATTGTCAATTTCGCATCTTTGCCATCGTGCTCGAGAGGGATTACCATATCAAATTGATCCCAACTCTTGGCTTTGAAGACCCGTTTACGATTTATCCTATTGCTGAGGACGTTAGAGGGGATTGAAGTTAGTGAGCCACTTGCAAAACTGGAACTAAGCGCTAGGGAGGTGGATGAATTCTTAGGGGAGGGTGTGAGTAATCTTGGTCCTACTTGGATCCAAAGATACTTAGGGGCGGGTGATCTACGCCGGTCAGCACTCCTAATCGTCTGAAAAGTTTCTCCAATTCTTCATGAAGGTGTTAAAATTGGCCTGAAGCTTTTCTAAGTCATATGTGAGGTGTGAAAGGTCACAACTTCTTTAACTAGCCAGCCGAACGGAAGTTATTGACTTTCGGAAATATTCTTTGGAATTCTTTTTATCCATAAATTGATGTGTTCACAGGAGTCAGAAGATTGAAAAGGTAGT